TCCGGAGTACCCGATGGGGGTGAGACTCGGTCCGTCGAAGCCTAAGGCGCTAGCGCAAGTCCGCCAAGGCGGTGCCACGGACCCCCCCCCCCGGCAAGCCTCACAGCAACTCCAGAACCTTGGTACCAGCTGGTCAACCGAAAAAGGGCCCCTAAGCCTTTGGGACGGAACCTAAGATAGGAGGGCCCAAAGCATTAGGGTTAAGGGGGTCTATCCTGCAGATGCATTGAACCAGACCGCTCAGAATTATCATCCCTGATATACAAAGACAGGGACCTAAGTGAGGCCACGTCTTCACTACGTTATCAGGGTTGGGGCTTCTTTTATCCTCGATGATCATTGAGCAGGGACCGTCCGTCCCGGCATTCCTGTAGGCCTACCACAAAATTGTCGCAGAACCCAAAAATGTTCGAACCACATACACCATGCTCTTAGAACATAACCCCGGTGCATGAAAGCAAGACCGTCTCAGCCAGAAGTGTTCTAAGAACCTTCCGTGCGAACCACAATAGGCTCTCAGAACATCTCTGGGTGGGCCTACAGGCACGCCGGGACGCTCCGCCCCTGCTCGAGGTCAGCGGAGGGACGGGGGAGGGGGCGCTGGCTCCACGTGGCCCCCGAACCCGGCTCGACCCGAGGGGGCCGCGGGGGATCGGCCAGCCCCCGGGTGGGGCTCACCCCCACCGACCTGTGCCCCGAGCCCCTCCGATAGATGTTCGGGCCCCACCTTCAGGTCGGGCACGTCCTCCTACAGGGGGATCTTGGACGAAAAATAAACAGCTGTCCAAAAAAAGATCCGCAAAAACAATCACAAATAGTAGAAAAGTCGTCCCCTGACCAGTTTTTCGACTACTTTTGAACATCCCTCCTGCAGAGGGACCCGACTTAACCATACCTCGGGCCTCCCCGGAGATCCAGCCTCCCCAGAGCTCCATCGACGAGGCACGACCGCAGACCTCCGAGTGACCTCGGAAAACACCCCCGAGAGCACCTCGGAAAGACGTCCCGGAAACCGACCGACCCCCGTGAGCGCCGACCCCGCCGATCCTCATCCCAAGGATAAACAAACACGTTCCAGTGCTCGCAAAAAAAACTACTCGCAAATGACCTGCATCCGCCGCGGGAAGGCTTTCGATCCATTGCATATAGGAAGACATGTTTTTCCCCAACCCTCCTGGGCTCCTCCTCTTCCCGCCTCCCGCCTCTTGCCTCTCGCCACTTTCTCTTGCTCTTTGTTTTTTTTTTCTCTCTCTCTCTCTCTCTCTCTCTTTGCCTGCGGTACCTGTCTAGGACCTCGCCGTACCTGGAGGGCTGCGATCTGCGACATTGTCGCCACTTTCGAGGGCTGCTGGTGGGTCCAGCGGAGAAAGGCACCGCGCAGACCTGAGCAAGACCTCGCCGTCCCTGGGGGGCTGCGACCTGCGACACTGTCGCCACTTTCGAGGGCTGCTGGTGGGCCCAGCGGAGAAAGGCACCGCGCAGACCTGAGCGGGACATCGCCGTCCCTGGGGGGCTGCGATCTGCGACACTGTCGCCACTTTCGAGGGCTGCTGGTGGGCCCAGCGGAGCGAGGCACCGCGCAGGCCTGAGCTGGACCTCGTCGTCCCTGGGGGGCTGCGATCTGCGACACTGTCGCCACTTTCGAGGGCTGCTGGTGGGTCCAGCGGAGCGAGACACCGCGCAGACATGAGCGGGACCTCTCCGTCCCTGGGGTGCTGCGGTCTGCGACACTGTCGCCACTTTCGAGGGCTGCTGGTGGGCCCAGCGGAGTGAAGCACCGCGCAGACCTGAGCGGGACATCGCCGTCCCTGGGGGGCTGCGATCTGCGACACTGTCGCCACTTTCGAGGGCTGCTGGTGGGTCCAGCGGAGTGAGGCACCGCAGACCTGAGCGGGACCTCTCCGTCCCTGGGGGGCTGCGATCTGCGACATTGTCGCCACTTTCGAGGGCTGCTGGTGGGCCCAGCGGAGAAAGGCACCGCGCAGACCTGAGCGGGACCTCGCCGTCCCTGGGGGGCTGCGATCTGCGACACTGTCGCCACTTTCGAGGGCTGCTGGTGGGTCCAGCGGAGCGAGGCACCGCGCAGACCTGAGCGGGACCTCGCCGTCCCTGGGGTGCTGCGATCTGCGACATTGTCGCCACTTTCGAGGGCTGCTGGTGGGTCCAGCGAAGAAAGGCACCGCGCAGACCTGAGCTGGACCTCGTCGTCCCTGGGGGGCTGCGATCTGCGACACTGTCGCCACTTTCGAGGGCTGCTGGTGGGTCCAGCGGAGTGAAGCACCGCGCAGACCTGAGCGGGACATCGCCGTCCCTGGGGGGCTGCGATCTGCGACACTGTCGCCACTTTCGAGGGCTGCTGGTGGGTCCAGCGGAGTAAGGCACCGCGCAGACCTGAGCGGGACCTCGCCGTCCCTGGGGGGTTGCGGTCTGCGAAACCGTCGCTACTTTCGAGGGCTGCTGGCGGGTCCAACTGAGTGAGGCACCGCGCAGACCTGAGCGG